GGGTGTGGTGGCATACACCTGTAGTCGAAGCTACTCAGGAGGCTGAGGCAGGAGGATCACTAGAGCCCAGGAGTTCGAGGCTGCAGTGAGCTATGATCATACCAGTGTACTTCAGGCTGGGCAACAGAGTGAGATCCCATCTTTAAACAAACAACAGACAAAAAATGGAAATGCATGCACCACTTTCCAAGTCAATGCTCATTCTGTTTGGTCATGCTCCTCTTCATTTAGGTACATAGCTGATGAAACTGGAAGGGTGATGCATGACATAACTTCCAAGGAGTCTTACAGAAGACAATTCGAAGCAATTCAGCATTGCTTCAGGATTATAGGGTTCACGGACAAAGTAAGTGATCAAGAGAGAAACTCAAGTGGCACTATTCTTATATGAATGTGAGTAAAGATGTGGATATTTCTCACTTGGGACAGGATACTTGCTTTCAAATGCCATGTTGGTCGTGTTATAAGGTCTTGCTACTCAAAGTGCGGTCCCAGGACCAGAAACATTGTTATCACCTGAGAGCTTCTTAGAAATGCAGACCCTGAGGTCTATCCAGGGATGACTGAATCAGAATATAACCATTTTAACAAGAAGCCCAGAGGAACATCAAACTAGGAGAGCACTGTTGTGAGGACCATGTGTTGATAAATTGTTATCATTGACATCAATTCATTACACATGTAATAACAAACACCAAAACAATACTGTGGTTTGTTTTTGTTTTTGTTTTCTGATTTAGGGTTGTTCCAACCATTAAAGTGAATGGGGGGTAGGAGTACAGGAACATGTAGATTACATCCAAGTCACAGAAATATATTTATGCAAGTAGCTCCTTAGGTAACAAGACAAATTAATTAAAATCCTTTCAACTTTCTTGCAGTTACTTCCTTCTCCATGGTACACAGTTGCACATTATTAACTATAGCTCTAAGTACTGTACTACCTTTTTTTTTTTTTCTTTTGAGACAATGTTGCTCTGTCGCCCAGGCTGGAGTACAGTGGTGGGATCTCAGCTCACTGCAACCTCTGCCTCCTGGGTTCAAGTGATTCTCCTGCTTCAGCCTCCTGAGTAGCTGGGATTACAGGTGTGTGCCACCACACCCGGCTAATTTTTGTATTTTTAGTAGAGACAGGGTTTCACCATGTTGGCCAAGCTGGTCTTGAACTCATGACCTCAAGTGATTCTCCCGCCTCGGCCTCCCAAAGTGCTGGGATTACAGGCATGAGCCACCATGCCCGGCCAATACTGTACTACTCTTATCATCCTTGATACATCCTAGATACAGGCTGTTTGTATTAAATATATGCTAGGGGTGACAGACAATATTTATAACCCTGGGCTCAAATATTATTCTGTGATACATTATGTCATAGTTTCTGGGCTTCATGCCATCAATTTTATAAAATATATAGATTCTTTTGCTTTTCCAACAAAGGGGGTGAATGATTAGGAGGTAGGTGAGAGTGTTAAATCTTAAGGAATTAGATTAAAAGACACTCCAGTTACCCTGGGATGGCCACTCCAGATAAAGGATTACTTCTGTGTAATGCAGTGTGATGGCTAGCCCTTCCCTCCCCTGCATGGTTGATTTTAGTCATAACAGCACCTTTTTTTTTCTGTCTAGCCAGCTGTTAATTTTCTCTGTCAGCCTCCCACAGACCTTAAACTGACAGACAGTGGAAAATCCCAAAGGTCAGATAAAAATATAAATATATCTTCCTTGGCTCCTTAGAGGGGAACAATTAAACAGGGACCAGCATTGTTAAAGGACCTTTGTGGTTATTAACTTATAGAACAGGCTTTTTAAAAATCAAAGATGCATCCCCAGAAGAGTTAAAGCGTGGTAGGAATGGCAGTGGAGCAATTTAAAGTCACCTGTGTCATGCCAAAGTATGCAGGGTCACATGTCCTTAAAAGGGTACAGGAACCATAGAGAAGTCAAGGTTAATAATCATTAATAGAGTTAATGTTTTGTTTTGAGTACAAATATAGTTATAGAATACCGTGAAGAGATTGATCCTAGCTGAACCCATTTATGCCTAGTGTTCCATTATTGGAACGCTAACCATGTGGTAGTTATTTATACCCTACTGTTCAAGGTCATCACCAAGGTCTGATTGCAAAAATTCAAAAAATTGCAACCTCAGGCTTAGATGGGTTAAAAGAAAGTATATAATGGTGCTGTTCTAATAACAGCAATGTACTGATAATAATAATAAAACAGATGCTGTCTGTTTCAGGATAAACAACATTGAAAACTGTTAAAATCTGTTTTAGTACAACAACACTAAAGCATTAAAAACAGAAGAAATTTAGTATGTTAAGTATATGTCCTTGAAGTAAGCCATCCCTAGCCTCTCTGGGAAAAAAGGTGCAATAGAAATAAATGAATGACTGTATGAATAAACATGAAAAGAAAAACATGTAAAAGATGGTGAACATTTTTAATTTGTGCCTGGTCTGTACTGTTAAATGAATAACCAGAATGTAACGGTGTCATGTGTGTATATTTTCACCATGTCCCACATTAATTCATACAGGAAATAAACCAATTTATATCAGCTGCAACCTTAGAAATGAAAGGAAGAAGCTGGATCTTATCTCTCTGACTCTGAATTCTGTAGTTCTATCTCTGCAGACAACCTGTTTTGCTGAGTTAACTCAGTTCACTTTATGTTTATAAATTCAAAGTAGTGTGACTAAATTCAGAAAGATCCAGTTGAATGTAGTCAGGAAACAGATGCCAAATGCTGATGTAACAGAACTTTCTTTTAGGTTTTTCTGGCAGACATTTCTAGATAAAGCTTAAATGAATTGGTCAATTCAATCAAAATTATGGTTCTTCTCCTTTCTTATAATGTCACTAGTTCCCTGCAGGAATCCCTTAATTTTTTCTCAAACCCTTAAAGCAAAATTATGAGTAGCAAACCTTCGTGTGGAGTCAGGAGCATGAATTTTAAATCTGGGACACCAGCCAAAGTATCTGAAAGAACACTTGACCCTGAGTTTATTGTAAAGAAATTGCCCTGGTGGAGGAGTCTTCCACTAATGATGATGACTTCTTGTGGAGGGTTGGGGGATTATCCCTAAGACCTTATTGTGAAGATTGTGCTTTTCAACTCTTATTTCTGGAGCCAAACCATACAATTATATACTTGTCTTGCTGGTAGTAATTAACATATTCAATCAATAGGGTTTTAGAGATGTTTCTATTTAATGCTACATGAAAACTTTTTGGGCAGATGATCTATGTGATGGTCAAAACTGGACGTACACTATAGATCCCCGTTGGAGAGGTTAGGGAGAAGCCTTTGAGATCGGCACAAAATTTCTTCCCTTTCTTCAAAATAGATTATGAATTGAGAGAGTACTGCTCTGAAGGATTACATGTGAAAATATGACTTGGGAGTCTTGAGGATTTCTAATGTCTTGATGACAGACAATAGGATACCATTGGCTTTTAAGATGCCAGATGTTGTAGAGCCTCTGCAAAGGAGACCGAGAAGTGTTGGAACAGAGCCTGTAGCGAGGCCCTTCAGCTGGTCCTGATGCAGTGCTTAGGGAAGAACTGATGTAAAACTGAAGAAACTTACAAAAAAGAAAGAAAGGAAAGAGAGACTGGGAAGGGAAGTAAATTCCTAGGGATATACCAGAGAAACAACTACCGGAGATGCTTATGAGCCAGGCCAAGGGGGATCTCCTTAGAGTAGCACCAGGCTAACAGAGAAAACTAAGTTTCCTCTCAACTTTTCAATTAGCCTCAACTCTGTCAAGAGAATATCTACATCAGTAAAAGAAGTGTCTTATGAGAAAAGATAAGAAAATATCAGATATCCTGCAGTGGGGCTTTGATGGAGAAACGCTCTCTCTTCCCCACTTTTGCTGATTGGCAGTGAAATAGTTTATACTCATCAACAATAAATTGAGAAACCCAGTTGGAGGACTTGGTCTTCTTGAGTGAAGCTATTCCACTTTATAATATAGAAAGCTGGAAAGTGGTAGAAATAAAAAGAGATAGCAGCATAGCAAGAGTCTGCAGAAAAGGCAGAGATGCCAGGAAAAGCTCTGTAGCTGGAGATGAAGCAAGAGAAAATGGACAAGGTAAAGAAGGTGAAAAAACCTTCCCTGGCTCTCTGTGGGGAGACAATAAGAAAAATTTGATCGAAAAGGTTTAGGACAGGAAGAGTAATCCCACAGGTGGACATACAACTGATTGAATTTTGCCATGAGTGTACATGATGTTTTGACCTGAACGCAGAGGCTCCTAGATCAGAAAGGGAGAACTAATTAACCCAAGGTTATAGGACTGATGGAGTCAAGTGGGTGGAATAGCCCAGAAATATAAACTCCTTGATAAGGTGAGCATTGGTTACCCCTCTGTAGTTCTCACTAAATCAAGGAAGGAGACCCAATTGATCATTAATTTCAGTGATTCACACAGTGTTTGAACCTAAATGTTTTTGCTCAAGGTCATAGATAGTTTTTCACTTTAAATGGTTGTCTAGGCACTATGCTGAAGAGGATATTGCCAGAGAAGCAACAGGGCAAGATGCTGGTTTCAAGGGTATAGCCTTTGACAGTCATTTTCTATGGTGATTATCCCAGTGGTGAAATGCCTGAAAGTCTTATTTTGGGAGGTTTCAGAGCTTGTACTATAATACATGAAGAAAGAGAGAGAGAGAGAGTCTTTGTGTGATGCGTGTTTTAATTACAGGAAATACATTTATTTTTTCTAAGAGTACTGAGAGTTTCAGATAACCTCTTGAGATAACTGGGTATAGAAACAGCTGATGTAGAACTCACTGCAAGAGTCTCTGTTTTACCCCCGGGATCTGCCTCTGTGGGAAGTTGCTCAGTGTAGTGAACAAGCCTCACACTGTATTGATCTAAGTAATGAGGTGCTGTCATGTTAAATCCAAGCAAGTCCCAGAAAACCTATTTAGTAGGTGTTCTCCTTAGCCACTCTTAAGTTGGGTGATTAAACAATGATTCTTAAAGTAAAAAACATGACATATTGCCTTTGATTTAGAAGTTGGAAGAATAACATTTATCCATTGTAGAAGCCTAGTTTAAAATCTTCATTTGTCTTTGTAGCATTATCAGGTATCCAGCAGATGTCACTATTATAGTCTGTGTTCCTCTTTTTGGCTTTACTGAGTAATGTTTACAGGAAGTTGTAATCTGTGAGGCAATGCTTTATCAGTGGTCTAGTGACCGTTCCTATTCCTTTGCTGCTATGTAGAGTACTAAATCAAGTTACCTGCCTGAATATTTTTGTGAAAGTACTTTTCTCTAAGCATAAAATGCAAAATTTTCCTATTTCATTGTTTCACATATAGAAAATGTAAGTTTTTAAATAAGTAAATATACCCTTTAATTTTTTTTTACTATTAATGATACATATGTATTCAACTTTCAATATAAAAATAGAGCTTAGATAATCAGAACTGTTTTTACTCACATTTCTGACACCAAATATGTGGGGTTTTCTCCCCCATACCAACAAATTCTCTGGCACCAGCTGAGTGTCCTACAATCCACTCAATTCTGACACTATCTACCTGGAGTTAGCATCAGATCCCACAAGCTAAGGGCTCAGTCCCACAAGACTACCCTGACTCCAAATACCTATGCTACTGTCTTCTATACTTCTGACTGACTGACTATAAATTGAGAGTCCCCACAACTCCCTCCTCAGGTTTGATAATTTGCTAGAACAGTTTATAGAACTCAGGAAAACACTTTACTTACCATTACTGTTTTATTATAAAGGATACAACTCTGCTGGGCACGGTGGCTTATGGCTGTAATCCCAGCACTTTGGGAGGCCGAGGTGGGCAGATCACCTGAGGTCAGGAGTTCAAGACCAGCCTGACCAACATGGTGAA